GCTTCTTTGCTCTCAGCTTGTGCTTGGCTTTCTCTGTTCTTGTTCGGCTGATATTGATCGCTGCCTTCTTGTTCCTTCTTCCTTGAATCTTATCCAGAGTACCAACAGTGATCCATTCCTTGTGATGTTGGTTCTTGTGGCCCAGAACCTCGTCATATGTTGAAGTGATTGCCTCCTTTACCCTTTTCCAGATGTTCTTCATGGTAGTTTCCTTTCCATCGAGTAGATCGCGAAAGGCTACAAACTTATTGCTGACAGTCATCTTGAGTTGGTTGGGTTAGTCAGTATACCGAAGAAAGACTGTATTAGACTTTTGTGATGTTGTCCACCCAGTTGTTCAGTATTTCTTGAGTTTCAGTTTTATTTTGGCCACCATCAAGTGGCGATCTGAGGCTATATCAGCTCCTCTCTTGGTTCTCACGTCCTCCATCGTCCTTCTGAACTTTTTATTGACAAATGTGTGGTCGATTTGGTTCTGAGTAGTGCGATCTGGCAAAATCCATGTAGTTTCGAGTATGCGTTTATATGGGAATATGACTAGTTTGTTGAAGGCACATAGGTTTGCGACCTCTCATCATTTTCGTTCTGTTTACTCAGTCCATGTCATCTCATGATATCTTCACATCCAGTGTTGTCCATTCCAATATTGAAATTTAGGTTCACCATTAAAATGGTCAAGTCCTTGGATGAGCATATCTCGACAATTTAATGCACCCTCTCGTAGAAATGATCTTTAACGTCTTCCTTGTAGCCACTGGTAGGTGAATAGCATTGGATGACGCCAATTTTAATGCCCTCTTTCCTAGTATTAAAGGATGCTTTGATAATCCTTGTTGATCCATGTGATTCTCATTGTTCTTTGTGTGTGATGTACAACCTTCTTTATGGTTGGAGCACAACGGCCTTCTTCTAATGGGTTTCACTTATTCCAAGCACCGCCAGGTTGTTTCTTTTCAATTCCTTAACAATTTGAATGATTCTTCATGTCTTCTATATCGTTTAAACAATCCATGTACATATATCAATTGTTGCTCTGTTTATGAGAAGGGGCACCGACCTCGTGATTTTTGAAGAGACTCGGCTTTAATCATGAGATGTCATAAACCTTACACATGAAGCCTTCCAAACCAGATGTCAGGAATAAGGACGATCGAAAGCTTATTGAACAGTGTTTGGATGACGAGAAGTATATGATCTAAGCCTGCTAGTTAATGCGAAGAGATCCAGTGCATGGCGTATCCGGCAGTGATCTGGTGCGCATGCGTGAACGAGCTCCTTCAACTAGATTGTCTTGTAAAGCTAATTAGGTCAACATCAATGTTCAAGGCTTACAGAGCTATTTATTAAGGGAAGTTATTGACCAGTACATATTGCAATATACGACAGCCTAATACAGGGTATGAAAATAATAATTATAATAGTAATGATAATATTAACAATAACAGTAATATTAATATATAGGAGTGAAATACTTGAGAAATTGTTACGTTCGTCACCAGGTACGCTTGAAGCTACATTATTAAAATGCCAAAAATAATGACGAAACATGGGTCATTAGTAGGATTGAAATTGGAGAGTCCTTTCAAATACAACTCTTAATCTACCATTATGAACCATGACACACACACACCAAACAAATCTTGTATCCTATTGCTCCTCCTTGCTTGTTTATTAGACTGTTAGATGAAGTACTTCGCATAACATAGATGTTTATGTTATGTTCATCACTAGGTATGCTTCAAGCTACTACGGGTTCACATTAGTCGATAAACGCGAACGAGACAATTACCAGCGTCAAGGTAGGCTACCTTGAATACCAAACTGCAAAACAGAAGTCTTAGTAGGCGTAGAAAATATATTCTACAACACCCAGCAATCAACATGCAATCAAGCATACAACTCTCGCTTATTTATACATCATAGAAATGTCCTTGGGTCAGTCACAAAAATAGCACACTAAAATACACAGCAACCAATCACAACCATGGATTTTCCCGGTGGGAAATGAAATCTCAAGGTCAACTGATCAGCCCATGCTCGCAAACCTAGAATCCAAGATAAAGTATTTATCAAGCGAGTTCTGGGGATCTAACATCCCCAACAGAAATGTATAATAGATTATTTATCATTGTACAAGTTGCTTAGTAAGTTCTTAAGGTGAATTTGATTTTCCTGAATTGTCATTGAAAACTACATGATATTAAGATATTTTCAGTACATACGACTGTTCAAACAATGTTGATTCTGTTTTTTTTGGTGTATAATCAAGCCTCAAGATTTACTAGATGATAGATATGGGGATCAATAAAACCTATTCATTGAATTCAGTGTAGTTTAAAAACGAATGATCAGTTGATAAGTTTGGTCTTAATGGGTGAATATATCTGTAGATAAGCAACTCATGATAATGTCATAAAAATCTGACCTGAAAATGTAAAAATATGATAAATTTATCATGTGCGCATGAGTTTATCTGAAATTGCCTTGTATAAATACACTACTCAAGTTAAGCTACTTAGAAAATTCTATTATTATTGTGATATATATATTAATTCGTTTACATATACTAGTGTAAACTATTCATTCTCAACAATGGCGGCATATGAAGAAGAAAGTAGTGCACTGGTTATTGATAATGGATCCGGTATGTGTAAAGCTGGATTCGCTGGTGATGATGCACCAAGAGCTGTGTTCCCGTCAATTGTTGGTCGTCCAAGACATCAGGGTGTTATGCTTGGTATGGGACAAAAAGATAGTTACGTTGGTGATGAGGCACAATCGAAAAGAGGCATTCTAACATTGAAATATCCCATCGAACATGGAATTGTTACTAATTGGGACGATATGGAGAAGATATGGCATCATACATTTTACAATGAACTACGTGTAGCCCCAGAAGAACATCCTGTACTATTGACTGAAGCACCAATGAATCCAAAGGCAAATCGTGAGAAGATGACACAGATCATGTTTGAAACATTCAATAGTCCAGCTATGTATGTCGCTATTCAAGCAGTTTTATCTTTATATGCATCTGGTCGTACTACGGGCATCGTGTTGGATTCAGGAGATGGTGTAAGTCATACTGTTCCCATTTATGAGGGGTATGCTCTACCACATGCAATTCTCCGTCTTGATTTGGCTGGCCGTGATTTAACTGGTTATCTTATGAAAATATTAACTGAACGCGGTTATTCATTTACCACTACTGCTGAACGTGAAATTGTTCGTGACATCAAAGAGAAACTCTGCTATGTTGCTTTGGACTTCGATCAAGAAATGAGGACTGCAGCGAGTAGCTCATCACTTGAAAAGTGTTATGAATTACCTGATGGTCAAATTATTACAGTTGGAAATGAACGTTTCCGATGTCCTGAATCCTTATTACAACCAAGTTTCTTAGGAATGGAATGTGCTGGTATTCATGAAACAACCTACAGTTCTATTATGAAATGTGATGTTGATATTCGTAAAGATTTATATTCAAATATTGTCCTATCTGGTGGTTCTACTATGTTCCCTGGTATTTCAGATCGTATGCAAAAAGAGATTTGTACTCTTGCACCGACTACAATGAAAATAAAGATTGTCGCACCACCTGAACGTAAATACTCTGTATGGATTGGTGGGTCTATATTAGCCTCATTATCTACATTCAATCAAATGTGGATAACTAAACAAGAATATAATGAATCTGGTTCAGGTATTGTACATCGTAAATGTTTCTAGATTAATTTATCTTTGTGACATGGAATAATTGATATGCATATTTCTATATATATCTTTATATCAATTATGGTGTTTATCTGACAATATTTCATACATTCGTTTTATAGTGACAAAAATAGATTTTAGAATTGGCATTTTACAAATTCTCTATAGTGAAATTTTATTTTCTTTGACTATAGATTTCTTTGTTTTATGTGCTTATTCTATCTTGTTATTTTGAATGATCTTATGGAATTAGACACCCAAAAAAACATGAAGAATTCATTGAGATTGATAAAATTGTTTCATTTGGCATTAGACCAATAAATTGATAAATAAATGTCAATGAAAAATGACATAGTTCTTGTGTGTCTCTGTGTGTGGGTTGTTTTTATGTTTTTCAAAAATCAAAATCACTTTTTAAATGAGAAACTTATAAAGTAGTATGTTTCGTCATTATTGATAGTATTTATTTGGATCGATGTTTATTTCTTGCGTGATAGTTGATATTCAATTCTGTAGGCAGAGTATAGTCGATCATACGATCAGCTATAAATCTATACCTTTTCATTAAAGACATAGAATTCAATAGGTGTTGTAACTTACTTTGTGGTACAGTATCTGACTATTACTGGACTGTGTAGTACTGTAGTGAAGGAGAACACAGGTGAGGGCAACCGAATTGTATTGAACGAAAATTACAGAGTTACTCAGTAAAATTGGAAAACCATATCGTAAATCGTTAATTTGCAAAATATCAGTTCATCATATCGAACTGGACTGTTCCTGTTGCAAAACATCAATCCATTGTCATTATTCATGCGTTTCATACAAATTCCTTTGTGTTCTAACTCTTCCTTTCTTGATCTTCCTCCATCTTCTGCTGCCAGACATTACGTTGACGCTCACGTCATATACTACTTATAAGTAGCTCGCACCACAGTAGTACTATTATCAGTAAACGAAAAAAGAGTTGAAGATAGCCAGAAATGTTCAAGGGATGATTAAAATGACCGAATACAGTTTGAATATAACATATAGATCATTTTCGAGTTTTGTTTTATGGTATACCATCATGCTTATAAGTAAAAGTCAATATGAAAACTGTGTAGTAATTTTCATCAGATTGTAGTGTTTAAACATTTTGTCAGAAAAAAACTTCAAAAACTAGAAACATTCTTCATTGAGTGGTTCATTACTCATTCAGTTAATTAACTGTAACTCCAAAGATACTGATTAATTGTTTAGCTAACAAATATCAAAAAAGTATATAAACTGTCCATTGTAACGTGAATCAAACTAACACATCCAATAAACTTCCGATTCATTGAACGAGGTTGCGGTTTCATAAAACGCTGTAGTTGAATGAATGGTGCACTAGCATTTAAGCCTAATTGGGAACACTAACTAATCTGAACATGTAACCTCAGTTCTACAATCCAAATGTACCAGAATTGTATCGAATGATTATATCAAGATAATGAGCCCAAGATGTCCAAATATCAATAAATGTCGATCGAATTTCAGCATTGAAAATCAAGACCAGCTTACATAAACCATTTAATATGTGGTTTTTTAGTTGATTACCTGTGTAAATGTTGAATATAATAGTGAGTTTAGAAAGAGTCGATATTATTTCGGTGAAGTATAGAAATAGGATGATCTGTATTTCTGTTGTCAGTGTAAGATATAAAATGAATAAAATATGTGGGTATTTTGAGCACAGTCGAACTGAGCATTAATTCAAAAGCTTCAACCACTCTCCCAACCTTTTAATATGAAAAAAGCTTTCTCTTCTTAATATTTCGTTATTATTAATAATAATATTGATCTGACAGTTAATAAAGGCACGATCTGTGAAATTTCCAAATCTATTTGTTCAGCTTGAATACTGTTTGACAAGAGTTATGAGTTCAAGAGAAGACTTCAATGTAGAATGGATCACAGTCTAAACATCCTGATCTATAGAAGTATTTCTGTGGGTTTTATTGTTGATCGAAACTCAAGCATTTGTACGATGTCAGTTATTTTATAGGTAACTGTAATTATGTGTAGTTTAAGGAATTTATTTAGCTCTTCAGTTGTGACTCAATCGTATTAGTGGAATTATAGTTTCAAATGATGGGAATTCATTTTATATGTATTTAGCGATGATGAATAGATTTAAAGTCAAAGAATCGATATGCTGTGTTACGAATGCGTTGACTTTGGGTAGATGACATAAGTTTAAACTTTCATTCAAATTACTATAGAATAAATAAATTAAGAAATCTTTTGTTTTTCCGAACTACAATCAATCAGTTAGTTGCAACCAATGTGTAACCTGCTACCAATTTACAATAGTACACACCTCGTCATACCATTCCAGCATGTTCATATGAAATCAACAAGAAGTCTGAATGGAACACTTATCAATGAATATACCAAAAACGGTTAAAATCGAAGTGGATATGGTTTTGAAAGAGAATTAAATCTACGAGAATTAAAGTGAAAATTATTAGATCAAAAGACTTATTCATTTTAGAGAATAAATTTGATGTTAGTTATTGCAAATTGGCATGAAGCCCAAATTCTACTTGATGCAAATGAACCGGTGTTTTGACAATTCGATATTTGTAGTCGAATTAGTGTGTGTGTGCAAATGATACATTTGCAGATAGTAGTAGTTTCAAAGTTGTCTGAGATGGATCTTGACATGATGAGGTCAAGTGAATGATGCTACTAGGATCCTGTATGCGCGTTTCCGAGACGCAGCACACATTGATGGCACGAGATTCTAAAGTCCTAGCTAATGAAGCCTGTTGCCCTATTTGACCCAGTGTCCGTACATTAAATGCTCCAACAGGTAGTTTAGAACGGGGCTTCAAGAGACCAGGACTCGCATCGTTTGCATTAGCTGTGCACTGTGATAAATGAATGTGAGTAGAGTTAGTCGTGGAGATAAGATAAATATTAAGGGGTGTACGAAGGATTTGATTATGACCGATTTGGTCTCGCGTGCTGTTACGAATCTTCTGGACTCGTCAGCACCTCTACCTTTGTCTTTCTAACCTTATCTCACTGAATTATACTTCTTGAATAATATCTTCAAACCCTAGTCTTCTTCATTACCATTAATACCTCTATGTAGAATTATAGAATGATGCGTTTTCTTTCTAGTCACACGGTCACAACATAACTATATTCAAATAATTTAAATGAATTCTTTTCTTTTTTTTGTTTGTTTGACAAAATTCATTACTATTCAAATAGAAAACTACTAAAAATTGAAATTGAAATTTGAACACATGAGAAATATATCCAGGTAATAAAAATCTAATATTTTATTGTGCACACAATGAGTTTTCGTTTACTTGTCGGCTTTGTATGTATGCAGTGTATTTCTAATAAATAGTGGTTTTCAATAATGCGAACATTATTTATTTCAAATAATTATGGATCATCTGATCTTTATTTTTTTTTGTCAAAGATAATTGTTTAAATGAAATCGTTTTTTTGTTATTTTAAAACTGAAAACAAATATTAAGTAGTATGTCAGTAATGATTAATTTTGTAAACCCCTCAAAAAATAATGAAGAAATCTTAAGTGATGCATGTTTCTGTTGTTGTTGTTATTGTACTAATCTTTGAAACGATGAAAAATCATTGAAGCAAACTAATTTTTGGAAGCAGATTGAAATAACACGTGTAACTCTTAGGATGCATAATAAAAAACATAGAATTCATGATTGATTATTCATTTTAATGTTATTTTGCTAATAGTTATGTCTATTTTGTAGTAACAATCAGAGATCGATAAAGAGAAAGAGAGAATGCGTGAATGAATAGAAATTTAGCGTGGACTAAATGAAACAATGGTTCAAAGATGTGTATTGAATAAACTGAATGAGAACTATAATTCAACCGTATATCTCTCTTATAACAAATTCTTCAGATATTAAGGAGAGATGGATTCTGTATAACAGTGGAATACAAGTTCTATGTTTCGTTTAGTCTGAGACACGTCAACTAAGAGTTGGGTAGTTGAAATTTCACTATCACACAAAGATGATGCTGTTCAATTGGCGATTTCTCAAAAATATTCATAAATTGACCAGTTTACCTATTGACACTCTGTTGTTCACTTTGAACATGAAAGAAACTTATCCATCTGTTTAATGGAAAAAGCCTGGCATATTGATCAGCACTATGCTGTTGAACTTAAACAAAACACCAACACAAACACATGTGTGCTTGCTTAAATAATTTCCAGCTAATTCTTATTGCTTAATATACTCTGACCACAATACACTGGACAAGTTCCAAAGAATCAAAAACACAGTGGAACAGGAAAAGATTATATTCCAAATAGCAAAGTTAAATAGAAATAAGAAGCCGAAGGCGATGGCAAAAATAGATACAACGCTAGTCTAATTATAGCATTTACATGAGAAGCTTCTGGATTCTAAATCATGTGATCAACTGGATTAGATTTAGCCAATCAGCATGCAGCTAGCAACACGAGAATTTTCTATCCTGTTCTCCAAAAATCGATCAGGCGCTGATTGGATAGGAAATTAACCAATCAGCGTGCAGCAACGTAGTCATGCTTTAATTTCATCTATATCCCACTGACACCTATTGACATTCTTTTGTTCACTTCGAACATGAAAGAAACTTATCCATCTGTTTAATGGAAAAAGCCTGGCATATTGATCAGCAATATGCTGTTGAACTTAAACAAAGCACCAACACAAACACATGTGTATCAGAGAAAATGCATTGATTGATGTTGCTTTGGGTGAAGTAACTCGGGTTGAATATACTGTTTGACATTAACAAGAAATAAGCGAATCTAATATTCGTTTACAAAACAAAGAATAATCATTGACAAGACATTTTCTGCATATTTTCACAGTCGGTTGTGTATTGCAAATGTATATGAAAGATGAGCTTCTCGATGTTATCATCATCATTATCAAGAGTATTTATACATCTAACTGTTCAGTCGAAAGTGAATTAGTGATTGCCCACTAAAATTT